AATACATATTTTTATATCTTATATTCTGAAGTCTTCTCTTTTAAAAAACAACAGTAACAGTTTAGTTGAGAGAGTGACATACCACATTGCTATTTGTCTTTTATAGCTACTGTATCTTTTCAAATAAGTTCATTTATTTATTTTTTTAAAGATTTATTTCTTTATTTATACAAGCACTGGGTACAGTCAGAAGCGCGGGAGGGTGAGAGAATTTACCAGAGCCAGAGTGGAGAACAGAACAGGGAGACTGACAAAGTATACTGCAGGAGAGGTCTGCACGCCATGTGGGACCCTCACCTGGTGGCCGGGAATCGAACTGGCACTGCAGAGGCTGTGGGCAGCTTCGCAGCCCAGCGCTCAAACGCTGCGCCACCGGGGAGGCCCCTCAAATAAGTTTAAATTTCTACCATTACTGAAATGCTGTTTCCAAAAACACTGTTAAATATCTTATTGATATCTCATTATTAAGGGCTATTCTGAAATAGCCCATAATCTTTTCCCCAAACTTTCTGAAAGATTTTATTTTTTTTTAATTTTTTAAAGATTTATTTTTATTGAAGAACTGGGGTATAGGTCAGAGGCGCAGGAGGGTGAGATGATTCACCAGAGACAGAGCAGGGAGCAGAACAGGCACACAGACTGAAATACACTGCTGAGGGGATCAGCAGGTGAGACGGGAAAGGTCTGCCGTGCTATGTGGGTATCTCCCTGGCCGGCAGGGAATTGAACCCGTGCTGCAGAGGCTGAGGACAGCTTCACAGCACTGTGCTCAACCTGCTGTGCCACGGGAGGCCCTTTGAAAGATCTTTTTTTTTTCATTGTTTTAATTTTCCATTTATATTTTTTAGACAATATTTGCTTCCCCCCACCCCCTCAGATTGAGTCCCCATAGAATCTCCTTCCCCAAGGCACCCATGCACCATCATCATTTTTTTTTTTTTTTGCCACCATCCCCTTCATAAAATATCTTCTATTTAGCAGCTGTGGTGATTTTCCTTGGACCTGTTCTTAACACACTTTCTCATTTTCTTTCTTAGTTTCTCTCCCATTGTGACCCTTTATATTTCAATATTCCCTGTCAAGCATTTTGGCTCCTCTTTCCAATATATTATTTTTTTCCTTTGTTTCTACTAATCCCATGACTAAAAATACACTTTTTTTGAGTTCAAATTTTACAATTTGAGTCTAGCTCTTTCTCCAAATCTATCCAAATTTCATTCATTTTCCTATTAGACCTATTCATCAGAATGAATTGTTGCTCTCTCAAGTTCAATACAGCTGAATTGAGATAACTTGCTTCCTCCTCAACTTTACGAAACCTACTCTTTCTTCTTTCACAATTTCTAACTCAAGCAACAGGGTGCAGACAAGATGGAAACCTCTTTGACATTAGTTCCTTCTCTACTTGGCAGACGCTATTTCACGCACCTTAAATCTGACCAAACATTTCTGCAATGTGATTCCCAGCTCTGTTCAACTCACTCTTTACTATAACATCTATGATCCTAGTTTTGCTCCTCCTTACCCCTCAGTTCCTTCCCACACCAGCTTTATAGACTATAAACTTGTATTTCCCCATTCTAAACAATGTGTCAGTCCACTGCTCAAAGTTTTCAATGGCGTCCAACTGCTTATAAGTTAAACTTCAACATCTTTACCAAAGTTTGAATATTTTCTTAAACTCTTGTCTCAACTTACTTCACTGACATTAAATTCACTCATTCCCACCAAACATCCTGGATTTGCACTGCACTACTTCCAAAGCCTAGGACTGTAGTCATGCCTTTTCATTTTTATTTTTTCCCTTCCCTCTCCTGGAAATGAACTTTTTTTTTAAGATTTTTTTTTATGCATACAAGAACTGGGGTATAGGCCAGAGGTGTGTGGGGGTAGGGGGAGTGAGAGGATTCACTGGAGATAGAGTGGGGAGCAGAACATGTGGATTAAATGAAATACAATGCTGAAGGGAGCAGCAGGCAAGACAGGAAAGGTCTTCTGCACCATGTGGGTCACCTTCCTGGCCGGAAGATGAAACTCATGCTGCAGCGGCTGCCTGTATTGTCATAGTGCAGAGACTTAACCCCTTGTGCTACCAGGGAGACCCTTGAAATTAACTTCTATGCACATGTGCTAAATACAACTGCAGCTCATCTTTAAGATCAACTATTAACAATTCTTTCACTTTCCACCCACTCCCCTTTATAAGCTATGAAAGCTGTTGGTACAGTCTTTTGTTCATGAGCATGGTATACCATGTTACAATTGTTGTACATTTACATATTGTTCATTGTGACATTCTTATGGAAAGGGATAAAAATATCCTATTCAATTTCAACTACAGTGATTTCATATAAGTCACAGAGTAAGTTCTTAATAACTCTGTATTATGAATTGACCTTAAAACATTCATTAAATACAAATTATACATTACTTTTTCATGTAACACAAATTATACATTAAATTTTCATATAATATACATCAAATGTATATTATAATATGATATCATACATATCATGCACCATAAATCTTATGTAGTATTTATATATACACTATGTACATACACATGTTAACACCATTTATGTGTATACAAGAACAAGCATCTGTTCATATGTTTATACGCATATGAAGCTCTTTAGGATTCAAAAGGCTCTTAGCTGTCACCTTCTCTAACCAATAACTATTACAAAACAGGAAACAAAACACCAAGTCATTACTTGATATTGCCAATGTTCTATAGCATACCAGTGATATACATGGTGTTAAAGCTTCTAAGACACTCATCCAGTGTACCTTTCACTACTTCACTTTAATTCACTGATCGAGCTAATAATATGACTCCCTGCATTCTTCTATACCAAGATCAAGCTTATTCCACAGACTAGATATCCTGGATTGTTTCACCTCATTTCCTCTCCCAATTCCCTTTCTGTCTTTATTTTTATCATTTGAAAACACTTATCAACCTGTCATTTCTGTTTTCATTTATAGCAGCATCTCACACCTTTAAATATTCCCTAGTTACTCCAATAATATTAACCAATTCCTTCAGCGATATGGTAAAGTCTCCTTTTAAAAAGAGAGGACATTATATTGCTCTCCAGTTTAAGTCACTATTCTCCCCACTAAACCAAGGATCATCTTCCTCATTTCACCAGCTTATACTTGTAACTACATTAAAGCCTACAGATTACTTTCTCATAATTCAATCATTTGATCTGTACAACAAATGGATAGTCAAAAGATCATATATATATATATATATATATATATATATATATATATATATATATATATATGCTGTTGTAAAAACTACGGGTCAAAAGTTAAGTGAATTGCCAATGTTCCTATAGCTAACAAGAGTTGGAACTGGCACTGGAACCAGGATCTCCACATTCTTGCTCTGAGAGCTTGCCACTATTTTAAACTGTTTATCAGCTTGTGTTCTCACCATGACATTTATGTTGACATATATTGGCACTTCAGAAGCTGCACACTGAATGTTGCCTGGACTCTTCGATCTGAATTACCACTTGGTTCTTGTTACTTTGATAGCACAAAGTTCAGCCAGGCAGGCACTATTTTGTCCAATGCTTACCGACCTGAAAAGCCCTTACCAAACATCCAAATGATACCATTGAATGATAAATTATAGCTTGATTAGTCTTTGTTGTTAGATGACTGAGAGATTTTGAAAAGTCAAGTCATGGCTTTAGCTAAATTAGATAAGATCATCAATTCTTTGGTTTAAATTAATTCGATTCCATCAGCAATCACTAATCTACTAATCTTTAAAGTGCCAGTGTTAAAGAACTGAAAACAGAAATATCCAAATGAGTTTTCTAAATGTGTATTTGTGCATGTTATTTTATGCAACACTACAGCAAATTATGAACTTCCTATTTAAATACATGTCTTTCCAATCTCATCACTAAGTTATTGGATAGATGTGACTTCCTTTAAAATTCAGGACATCCGTGTAATTGCACAGTAGACTGATGAGTCCCTACAGCAGAGAGCTAACGACAGCGGAAGCCAGGAATGGACCTACTCTACAACTTGTTTGCAAACCCATAACAAATCCCATACTTTCTCTCTTTTCTACCGAATCCTCCTCTTAATGTTTAGTCATTGCCAAGGAAACTCTTAATTTATCCCTAGCTCTAAGAAACAAGACTAATTATTTCCCACTTTATTTTCATAAACATGTGAAGTTTCAGTTCTGCTGAAAAACTCTCAGTGTCCTTCAGAGGAGAAAACAAGTGTCTGGAGAGGGGGCAGTTATTCACTAGGTATTGTTTCCCTGTCTGTCACGGCTCCATCAGGACCTCTAGTCAGCACTTTGCTCAGAGGTACCAAGGGACTAGTTGATGCTTTTGTCGGTTGATTGAAAACAAAAGATTTCTCAAGGCAGGAAAAGTAACTGGACATTAAAAATCCCACAATTCACTCATTAATAATTGCGCTTTACACAGTCTCCTCTGTGAGCTCACTGGAGTTCCATTTGTTTTGCCTTTAAATGTTAAAACTCCCCTCACTTGGCTTGTTTCCACATGTCCCACATATCACAAAGCTATACTAAAGAAATTAAACTCTATACCACATCCATCATGGCACTAAACAAACTGTTTGTCTAAAGACAGAAGACCAGAACTAAATTGTTTGCTTCTACTTTGTTATAACTGTATTTAAGAAACTCAATAGAAAGAGAACCAGAGGTTAAAAATACTGCACTTCATTATGAAGTGTAGCACTGGATGTCCCTGTTAACAACAGAGCTGAGAAAGAAATATCATCAGTGACTAATACCTCTTAGTTTTGCTTTTCTTTCCTGATAGCACCGGGCATGACCTAATTTGCTTCCTAGTAATCAGACTTTTTTACTTCCAGAACCCAGCACCTCCTGACCATCAGGCAGCACAAGGGTCCCTCCTAAAGCTAGCAGTTTCTTACTGTGGACTCAGATGTGAAGGTGGGGAAAGAGGGAGCTCCGTCCCACTTACCAGTCTTCCACAGATAGAGGGTGGGCGCCTCTACCTCGCCCTGTGCTGCAGCCCCGCAGGCACCCAGGCACGGCAGCAGCAGCAGCAGCGGGGGCAGCAGCAACTGCTGCAAGACGCTCGGGTGCTGGCCCGCGATGCCCTGGCTCCCGGGTGCAGAGCGCCTTGCTCGCAGCCCCATGCTGCCGGGAGCAGCTCCAGGGTCCAGATCCCAAGGAGGTAGGCAGGGAGTTTTTCTTCGCCCTCAGAATGTCTTCCCAAAGAGTACAAAAAGCAACGCTCCCCTCTGCTATTGTTTCCTTCGGATGCAAAGGAGGGAAAGCGAGTCTAATACCCAGGAACAATAGCGGCAGTGGTGGCCTCCACCGCCGCTGGCGGGGATGCTGCTGCCGCTGCCATTCCGAGCTGTGTGGCAGGTCCTAGCAGTGAGGTAGGCAGCCGTCCACAGGGGGCCCCAGCTGACTGAGCAGGTCCTCAAGGTCTGGGAGGCAGTGCTGCCCCTGCCACCAGCTGGAGAGAGGAGGGGGGGCTGCGCCCAAAAGAGCTAGAGGGGGCTAGAGGCAGGGGGAGCAAGAGCACGAGGGCGAAAAAGGAAGAAAGCAAGCAAAGCAGAGAGGGGACACCCCGACCCAGCACACCCGCCCAGAGAACTCCCGTGCACATGGTGTGATGAAATATGTTTGGAAGGATACACCAATAAAAAGAATCATCACCCGACAGGCTTCAGCATGACAAATAACAGGCATTGAAATTCATCTTCACCTAAGGAGTCAAATGCTGGATCCAGTGGTGTGTTGTTTCAGAGTGTGTATTTACACAAAGCATCGGTGCTTATTATTTATTTTTAAGCGGTGTCTTCTGAATTACTTTGTTGAAAGCAGTATTTATGATCAGATGTGAAAATGACAGTAAAATAGCACAGATGTTTATTTGCTTTCAAATTTCACTTAAACACACAAAAATATTAGCTTAAAGCATTCTACTCTCAAAAATATAGACAATGTTGATCTGTGACAAAGTAAAGTACATTGTCTTTTAACTGCCTTTAAAACTGAATTAGTATTTAATAGGTATTAAATGTTATCTAATTACATGAAAAAATTTACAAAAACAAGTCTGAAATTATAATTCAGATGTGAAAGAAAGAAAACTGTCATCCGTTTTATTTGCTTCTCCCTGTCAAAAATATGTTAGTTGTGAGTTATGAGTAAAATTAAATGGCAAATTAAGTTTCCATTATTTGGATTATTTCCAAATGGATAAATTCTTTGATGAAAAATTCCTGACACGAATTTCTCTTGAATTTCTCCTAACTCTTGATGTAGAAAAATGCCCTCATAATCTAAATAAAGAACCTAGTGGGTTTGGGGTTTTGGTTCTTTGTGTCCTTGCTTTCTTGTACCAGTAGTAATAGAGGAAGGTGTGTAAAGTCAGATAATGCTTTGCCCTTTCTCTCTTTCCCCTAGTTATAACCTTTTATTAATTCATTTCCTGGTAAAGCTAAAACAATATAAAGGCATTTAGCCAATTAAAAACTCACCAAAAAGAAAGCCAAAGAAAACTATTCATATCCGGTCAGCAATATTTTGCCAAGTAAAACAGAATTTGAAAAGCATGAAAACGACATTATGAATTTACTCCATCAACACAGTCAACCCAAGAGTTTAAAAATGAGGAAACTACTGTTTCTGAAAGAGGAAACCTTCCATAAAGCTCTCCTGGGATGCCTGTCATTTTGCAGATCATTCCAGACACAGCCCTTCTGCATGCATTAGATTAAAAGCAGGTTTGATCAAATAATTCCCAGGTCCTGCCTGTTTAAGTATTCTGACATCAGAGGAAATTAGCAATGTTGAAGGTTGCAAATTCTGTCTTTGTTTACTTTCCACTCTGTTAGGCCTCTAAGAGGGAATTAAAAGCTCAGAGAGTCCTAGCTCTGTGAGTCTGTGATTAGGAGAGATAAGCTAGTGTGGATTACTATTTCTTCACTGGTGAAAAACAGGCAACAATCAAAAGATTATAGGTTGATAAAGAACACAAAGGAAGCCTGATCCTAACTAATGTATGGATCCCTGAAGGAGCACTTGTTTCAACAGTCACACTAAATAAATAAATAAATAAATAAATAAATAAATAATAAAAAGGACCTGCTATAGTTTCCTTGGCTCTATCCTCCTAGGGAAAACTCAGTGATACTACTCTTAAAGCCATGCATTTTCTTACCCAGTCTGTTTTTATTTCTTAGCTACTGTTAGCACCCTAAACCCTGATATCCTCGAACCCTGGTACAGATAGGGTTTCCAACTGCTAATACTTCATTAATATCAAGTCATTCTAAACATTCTTGAAAGTGCCAAATCATTTCATCAAGTAGACACTAAATATACAATAAAAGACAGAATCTAGGGAGTCTGGTTAGTATAACTCAATGTGCAGAGTAATCACATTGTCCTTTGAAAAGCCGTTTGATTGTTATACTTAATAAGCTTAATGTCAAAAGAAAAATTTAAGTTGTGATCTTTTTGTTTATCCCTGGTTGTACAAAAATTTTCAACTGGTCAAAGATTCAAACATTATGTACTTTAAGCACTATACATTATAAAGTAGAAAAGGGGATTGAGTCTTCCAAATTTGCTGCCATTTGAAAGACTGAGCTTGGATGGTTTATAGCTGTGTTGGAAAATACTGAACAATAGGTTTCTTTCTTTTAATTTCAATTTATGCAAGGCATAGTAGGGGCTCTCTCTCTCTCTCTCTCTCTCTCTCTCTCTCTCTCACACACACACACACACACACACACACACACATACACACCAGTTAGTATAAAACCATCTCTGGACAAGGTTACAGAAACTAAGTCATATAAACATTTGTCGCCAGCACTGCCACATATCTGTTCTATAACAATGTCATTATTGCACTTGAGGACAAAAATATATGAGTCTCTGAGGAGATAGAAGTAATATATTTATTCAGATACATGTTCCTTTGTGAAAGCTTTAGTGTCCAGTAGGATAAATTCTATCAATAAAACTGATAGATGGTAAGAGATAGCAAGATATAACAATCTTTGTTTTCTAGAATATGATATAAATGATACACAAATGTTTAATGACATGATGTCAAAATTTAGTCACGAGAAGTCTCAAGGATGCAGATTAAACTGACCATCTGTACAGCCTGCCATGAAGTAAATCGTTCATCATTTTTCATGAAGAACTGTTCAAGTATTAATGAGCCAGGGTTATAAAAGTTTTCCAAACCAATGGATGAAAAATGCAAAGCATATTTTTTTAATACTTAGAAATGAGACTATTCTTAACCTATCACCTCTCATGTGGTGTCAATTAATATGTTTTTATTATTTTTCTATCATCTCTAAACTCTAGAAAATGAGGATATTTACACATATACACATTTTCTCTTTTTAGAACATAAGAATTTAAATGTATTTCATGACCCATAAATAACACAGATAAAGACTTTTAGTGATTAGTACCAGCATTTAAAAGCAGTCATCAAAAATTCAGTTACTGGACAAAAAGGGAACCACTTTTATCAGATTTTGAAAAAAAAAGGCAACAATAATCTAAGGAATATATAGTTCTACTTTTTAATAGAGTGCTACACAGGAAAGTATTTAAGAATGTCCATTTTGAAATGAAAACCTTAAATAAATTTATCTACATAAATACATCTCGCCATACATATATAATATAAAATCACCCAAAGGAATTCTGTTTGTATGGCCTCTAGGTGTCATACTTGACCAAGATTTAGGGTAGACAAAATTTTCGGGGACTTCTTCCTACTTCACCTTTTCTGCCATACCTGTTAAAAGTTATAACATATCATTTTTTATCTTTGTTATATGTAGCCACATTTTTCACCTTCTTTCCCAATCCTAAACTTTCCCAATTCTAACATTAATACTCACCTTCCCTTTTTTTCCTTATTATTTTTTTATTTATAACCACTTCTTTTTGGTTTTGTTGGTTGGTTGATTAATTTGTTTGAAGGTCAATAGGTATGCATAGTGAGGAGAGGGTAGCCGATAAATTTTAAGTAACTTTACAGAAAGAAAATTAATCCCATGGGTTTTCCATATTACTCAAAACTAAACCTATTTGAAAACAAGGATCAGTTGAAATAGTTGGACCCCATCTTTTGAGCATTAGGTGAAAATGTACTATATTTAGGTTCAGGTGACTTCTATGGTTTGGGGAATTGGTCATTCAATTTATTTTTTTTAAAGATTTATTTATTTATACAAGAACTAGGGTGCAGTCAGAGGCATGGGAGGGTGAGAGTATTCACCAGAGACAGAGCAGGGAGCAAAACAGGCAGATGGACCGAAGACAGTGCTAAGGGGAGGAGCGGGCGAGACAGGAGAGGTCTGCAGCCCCATGTGGGACCCTTGCCGGCCAGCGGGGATTGAACTGGTGCTGCAGAGGCTGCGGACAGCTTCACAGCTCGACGTTCAACCCGCTGCACCACCGGGGAGGCCCTGATCATTCAAATTTAAACCTTACAATCCATCTGAGGGGGTGGAGGGAAGAAAATATTGTTTAAAAAAATGATATATGTTAAAATAAGAAAAAAGGAAAAAGAAAAAAAAAACAAATAATAAACCTTACAATCCCAGGCAGTATGTGATACACCAATAATCCCTGAGAAAAAGTACCTCAATTGCGAAATAAGCCAGAAAGAAAAAGAAAAATACCAGATGGTCTCACTCATAGCAGGAATTTAGAAAACCTAAGTAAGGGACCAGGAAAAACTAATAATAATGAAGTAAAAATCAGTATCAACAAGCAACTATAAACCAGAGACACACTACAGGGGGTGAGACAGGAGTAGTATCAAAACAAGGGGGGTGGGAATTGTTTGGGGACTATAACCAAGATGAAAATGCATTCATTGTGCAAAAATGAAAAATGATGTAAAAATATATAAAATTTAAAAAATAAATTTTTTTTAAAAATTAAATAAAGAAATGTTTAAAAAGTCCACCAGTGGTGATTTGATATGATTCAGACATTTGAGTTGTACAGAGAAACAACATACATAAAGACAACACAAATGACTAGCTATCACTACTTGTGATAGCCAATCCTACAGATTAATAGTGAAAAGAAAATTAAAACTAAATATGAAGTGAAGGAATCCTTAAAAGAAGACCCTGATCTTCTGCTGTGGCAGAACAAAAAAACTAAAGAAACTGGAAAGTTAATAGATGACAAGTGCCAAAATGACTGAATGATAAACAGAGACAAGTTTGTTAGGCTAAGATCAGGGTCCGACGTGGGGAAACCTAGAATCTGATATGTGGGACAAAGTTGTCCAGGGGATGCCTCAATGTCTCTGGCGCTTAGTCTCCTCCGAACTCTCACAGCCTTCTGACACAGTCCCTTTTAAGGCTGCCCAACTTTCTTCCCTAGTTTGCAAATTAATGACTAGGACTAAGTTTCAGTGTAGCTCCTGCCTAGTACAAACAGGGTCTGATTAGAGAGCAAAGCAACTGCAAAATTTAGCCAGAATATAGTGGGGAGTCAGAAGAGTCTTCATGGGACT